CCTCGCAGCGCGCCCAGACACGCCCTTAATTAACCAAAAAAAATTACATCTTTATTAATAACAAATTAATTATTAAACAAAAATATTAAATATAAACTAAGCAAACGTGCATTGCACGTTGCTTGCACCTAGTTTTGATAGAAAATGTCTAAGTTAATCAATTATTGTTTGTCTATTGAATCCTCATAACTGCAATTATCTTAAATAGATAAATAATAAAAGTCATAAACAAATTCTATATTAATTGAACTCAGATCGATTTCCACGTGCATAAAACACAAAACAAGAAAAGCATATACCTTCCCCACCGCGTATATATTGGCGTTGTCATGTCTTTCTCGCTCTAGAATTTTTCCGTCCATTTTCAGCTTTAATCCACGGCTGGCCAGCCACCCTTCTCCACCGCCTCAACCGATTAACACCATCGAAAATTGTAAACATCCAATCCCAGCAAAACCTTTAATTGTTTTGATGATTTTTATCCATCCTCTCTCCGCCGCCGCAACAGTTTAATCTCATCTCAATCTTAAACCCAAAATTGTAAAAACCACAGGAAAATTCTTGATTCTTTTGATCACTTTTACTGATTTCAATGATGGATTGTGAGAGAAACGAAGTGGAATCGGACAATAACAATAATTCTTCGATCACGAAAAAAAGCTCGAGTGAAACCACCAAAAAACCGCTCCACCACCTCTACAGCTCGCCGGCCTTCCAGCGCCAAGATTCCATCAAGAATCTGTACAGTTCATCCTTCAAATCCATGGTTTCCGTCGGAATTTCGTTCAAGAGCAGAGTCAGAAAAGTCTGCTCCATTTTTGAATCCACAAAATACCGACCAAATACACAATCCCTTACAAAATCCCCCAAATTATTATTACCAGCAGATTCCAATTTTATCCCTTATCCGATTTCGGATTCTCCTTTCCGTCTCCCGGGCACCGAGGACAGAGTCGTCGTTTATTTCACCAGCCTTCGAGGGATTCGAAGAACGTTCCAAGACTGCCATGATATTCGAATGATTTTTAAAGGCTTTCGCGTACGCCTGGACGAAAGGGACATTTCAATGGATACAACTTACAGAAAGGAATTACAGAAAGTATTGGGAGAAAGCAATGTGAGTTTGCCACAAATTTTTATAAAGGGAAAGTATATTGGAGGAGGTGATATTGTAAAACAGCTGCTGGAAGGAGGTGAGCTCGTGA